CAAAATTTGACCCGTCCTGAAACCCGATTTCTGGGCATCCATCGGTCGGCTAATCACTAAGCATCAGTCGATCGACAAGAGCCTATCGGTCGACCGATCACTAGGCATCAGTCGATCAACCTTGCTAAATTTTCAGCTAACACAAAATTTGACCCGTCCTGAAACCCGATTTCTGGGCATCCATCGGTCGGCTAATCACTAAGCATCAGTCGATCGACAAGAGCCTATCGGTCGACCGATCACTAGGCATCAGTCGATCAACCTTGCTAAATTTTCAGCTAACATACATGCATGTTTATACCTATATATTATTTATATGTACTTAATTGTTGTGCGCGACGGAAGTTCTTGAAGCGACACGAACAATAACTCGAGATAAATCACAACCAATAAGCAAATTACAATCACAATAAGAACAACGAGTTTAACGTGGTTCGACAAGTTGCTTATATTCACGGGGCAAGGAGGGAGGAGTTCTTACTATTAGAAATTAAGAGAATATAAATAGAGTTACAAATCTTACCGATCAAATCCTAAAACAAAGCTCTAGATCTCTCACAAATCTTTCACAATTGGATACAACAATTCTTTTCAAAAGACTGCTCAAAATCGTCCTTGCTTAACCCTAACTAATTACAATTAGAGTTATATATCAACTCAGAAACGAACCGGGTCAAAAATCAAAGCCCAGCCGAAAAACAGTCTGCGGTCGACCGCCGTTTAGGTATCGCGGTCGACCGCTACGGTCGATCGAACCAAAAACCAGAGAGCAGAATCAATTACAGTCATAGCGCGGTCGACCGCGACGGTCGATCGAATCTCATCCCGAGACCAAAAATCACCTACAGGATACGTGTGGTCGACCGCCTTCAGCTCCGAATCCTGCTGCCCTTCTGTACACGTTCGCGGTCGATTGCCGCTGACTCACGGTCGACCGCCAGTCTGCCTGGTCGATTCTCCTGAACTTCCTGCTGCTTCTCTTGCCACTTCTTCAATTCTCCACCTCGACAAATGTTTCTACCAAAACTGAGCCGACACCAAATCATCCAAACTAGAGCTAAAACACGATCTCCCCTATCGAAATCAAACCGGCTGCATCTGAAAGACTGCCTACGTATCCTCTTTCCCAAGGAATCAAGCCGAATGTAGTTCACCCAAATAGTCTCCAAAGGCCTCAATACTGAAGAATGTTTAAAAGCTTCAAACAATGATCAAAATTTACTCCTGAAACAACTTTGGTCAACATATCTGCAGGGTTATCGTTCGTGTGGACCTTCTCCAATATGATATCTCCATCATCCAAAACATCATGAACAAAGT